AGGAGGGTCCGGCACCTCCCACAGCCCGAGGGGGAGCGGCCGAAATCGCGTGTCCCGGCTGGGTTCCCGGAGAGCGCGGTACGGTGTGCCCGGCCGGGCCGTGACCCGGCACCGGCCGGGGGTTCCAGCCTCGGGAGGGCTGGGCTCCCTGAGCCCTGCGGGGCTCTCCCAACTCACAAATGTTCCCCGATTCTGGTGAAGTTGGCCGGTGCCCCCCGGGCATCGAAGTTGATGGTGGTGTGTTTCTGTACTGATTGGCATCTCCTAATTGTTCCTGGGCTGCTAATTAACACCTGGCACTGTATTCCCATCTCGATCCTAGCTGCCGTGTGGTTTGCCTCCGTAGAATGTTGAGATGAAGGGGAAGGAATACCAAAAACATTCCAAAAAAGTATCAACACTTTTCTTGACAACAGAAATTATGGCAAATTTCTAAATTTTATAGATTCCTGGTTAATTTTTCTTTTCTAACTTAGTATTAGAAAAGAAATCCTAAATGCTGTCAGGCTAGGAAACATCTGGTTCATAGAGTCACAGGAAGATTATGCACCATTTCACTGTTATGTTTGTTATAAAATACTTCACTTTTTGTGAAAAAAAGTTCTTTTTGCCCTTATTAGTTTCCAGACACTTTGGTGAACATCACTTCAGTTCTGCCCAAACAAGAATATACTTACTGTGTATATACACACATATGCTCACATCTCAAGCTGTGTGTGAGCAAGGTGTGTTTGCAGCTCCCTGAGTGGGAAATGTACACTTCAGTACACAGGTGTGTGTGTTTGCAGTGGGCAGGTCTGAAAATCATCTGTTTATAAAGTAGGCAAGTTTGGAACAAGTTCAAGTGTGCAGACAGTGAAAACAGTACTATTGGAATCTATGTTTTAGCACACAGACCTGCTTGAAAATGTTTTATGTCTGCAAAAGACCTGCAAAGAATTAGATTTGTAAATTCAGTTGCAGAGCTCAGTAATATAGATACAATTATTTATGTTTACCATTTTTATGGCTGTCTGATGTTCTGGAGGGGTTTCATTTTTGTAAAGCTCAGTGGAAAATAAACTATATTTGCAGAAAAATTCTGAGAGTTAGTCTGGGCAAACAGCTTTACTCAGCTCATTTACCACAAAGATACTTCTCCTTGTCAGTCATCAAGTATTTGCTTTACCTTCTCTAATGTTTTTGTGCTTCTTAATTGAAACTGTTACATTTTTTGTGACAATGACTCACCCATCTATAGCTAGACTGAAATTCCAGGTAAGCTTTAAACATTATCCCTTGCTCACAATAGTTAAGTAAATGTGTGCTCTTAGTATGCTTTCGTAGGATTTTAGAGCACTTTATGGCCATTCATTCATTAATCCTCATCAAAGATAGCTGAGGAAAATCAAATGTAGACAAACTTATTCTCACAGTCTATTTTAAACCTTAAAGCTCACACATAATTGCCTGTGTGTAAGCCACTCCAGTGCTTGCTTGGCATTATATCCTGTTAAAGGAAACCACCACACAGTTTTTGCAGGATTCTTTTTCCCTGCAATATTACAGTAAAAATAGAATATCGTGGAAGTTATCTAAAAATTAAGCACGGAAATACATGGACAATTGGGATGTGGCATTGAAATAAACACTTTACCTGCTTATGTGCAAGTTGTGCCAAATGAGCAGTCGGGTGTCACAAGCAGCCTGATCCCTGCTGGGACACAGCCCCTCTCACTCTGATTTTGGGTCTGCTTCTACAGCAACCACTTACCCATATGACTATAGATAATGCTGTGATAGTATCTCATTTTCACATGCATTCTCCAGTCTCATGATTGTTTAAAGACTTTAGGCCTTGGCAAAAAAATGACACTGATATTCAAGTAATCTACAGCAATTCACATTTAGAGGCAGAATGGCCGTTGAGGAAAGAGAAAGTTTGGGAACTGCAGGCAGAAGGTATAAAGGGGAGAGGAGTACAAATGTTGTACAAATGTCCCTGTTTACTGCCCATGCAGTATGTTCCTTTAACACAAAAACATTAAGAATTCTCTGGTGCCTTTCACTTAGAGCAGAAACTACTTTGTTGCCCTTGGAATAATTTCTGTTGTGTCTGATTCCTTGTTCACATGTGTTTCCTCCTATCTTCATGGGCAATTACTTCTTTGTCTTAAAATAAAAGCCCTACAGACTCCTGGACTACAACCTACATATTAAAAAATGTTTTGTTCCATAAGCACTTGCCTCTGTTTCCCTCATGATTAAGCCTTTGCTGGTTTGTTTTTGGTTTTTTTTATGCTTCAGACTTGCAGATTTCAGTTAAAAGTTTACTTTGCACACATGATATTGTCTTAGGCTGCAATACAAGATGTGACCAGATGTGTTCTATTCCCATCTGTTAAAACCAGCTGGGGCAGTGTTCTTTATCTCTTCCACAGCCCATCCTCCCTCCAGGGGGAAACCTTCTGTTAATGGCCATGGAGTCTCACTGCAGGACTGATACAATTCCATCATCCCACTGGGAGATGCTCCACCCAGGGGGGAGCCAAGAATTCCTGCCTGGATATAATCTGAGGATTGGAACACCACAGGCAGCCTTT